TCCAGCCTGCATTCACATGAAGGCTGCAAGCCATACAGGCAGGCTTCCACCAAACTGTGAGCCCACCAAGGCCCCCAAATTCAGCACGGTGCAGGCCCTTGGTAAATACCCACAGCACACTGTGTGGCAGAGAACTCCTGTTGTCATGAGAACACCCAGCTAAACTACACTGTGGGGTCTGTCTGAGGCCACTTCAAGGGAGGCCTTAACAGATCCTTTCCCCAATAAGGCCTAAATGGTGGCCAGGTCTCTGACTCCGTACTGGACTGTGGGCCACAGCCCTAGGACAGGCAGGTCTTTCAAGGTCTGGGACTAGCCTTCTTCCTGCCACTGACCCAGAGGAAGTACTTCATCCGAGCTGCAAAGAACAATGGGGACGTTACTGAATCCTTCACTCATGGCAGACACCAGTTCCCAAACAGAAGCAGGAAGTTAAACCAGCGGGCAGGGATACATGGTCCGGGAGACAGCAGTTTTCTCATCGGTGTTGCTTTTCTGCATTGACTTTTGCCTTCAGGAAGGGGACTTCCTTCTGAGTGAGTGGCTTCTGGGAAACGGCCACACAGCGTCTGCTCACACTACATGCTCAGCAACCCGAACTTCTTCCCTGGCTCCCGTCTGAAGTCATGTGGTAACGATGGTGGTGGTGACACTTTGGGACAAACTGGGGGAAGGGCAGGGCCAGCACCCTGAGTGTTCAGTTTGGCCTTCCAGCCCTGAGGAAAGGTGCCTGGATGGCAAAGATGCCTTTGCCCAGAACACGTTGTGCTCCTGAGATTGCACATAGAAAATGTGTGTGTGGTTTTTTTTTTTTTTTTTTAAGGTTTTGCCTTTGGCCTTTGAATTCACTAAAGAGAGACAGAGAGACAGTGAGAGTGAAAGTAAGAAATCACCCCCTGGGAGGATGGCCACACTCTAATCCCTTCTCTATTCTCCTTCTGGGATTATGGGCATGCACAAACGTGCCCAGCATGATTTTCAAGCTGCCAGGTCCAGGACTCGAATTGCAGTGGACCATGTGGGAGTCCAGTGCCTTAACCACTATGCCACCTGCTGGCCCTCAGAAATGAGTATCTTCAAAAGGACAAGTTCTATGCAGGCATCATCTCATAGGAGCAAATGTAACCATAAACTCCTCGCACAGGGCGTCACCATTGGGCACCACTTTTAGGAGGCTGTTCCTTCCTGCGGTTTCCAAGGCCCTTTTACGATACCCACAGGCAGTCCCTAAGATGGCACTTACCAACGGCTAGTCCCGGTGGGCCGCCAAGCGCCCCGCCCACAATTGCCCCAAGCCAGGTGACCAGGGCACCTCTCTTCAAGTGATTAATAGTCTCCTTTATTTTCCTCTGCTTGGAAATTTTACACAGCAGTTTCATGATAACATCTTCCTTGATGGGCATCGTGGGGGGCCTTATGGGACAATTTCAGAGGGAGAGATTTAATGAGTGTGAGAACGTTTCCACCCAAAAGTTACTCCTCCTAGAGTTTGGAGGAAGGGTCTCCTTTCAAGAGACAACCATAGCTCCACCATGGGCATGGCCTACAGCAGCCAGACAGTGGGAAGTTCCTGTCACAGGAAGAGCAGGGCAGCAGTTGGGTAATAAGTAAGTAGAAGCAGCGGAGGGGATGAAAGGTCTTCCTGGCCCTCTGATTAACCTCTGACTTATGACAGACTGGGGAGCAGACCCAGCCACACGTTCTACTAGTTCATCGCGAGGGAGGCAAGTCTGAGCTCTCCTGCATCAGTGGCCTTTCAGCCGGCTCAGGCAATCCCCTCTGCACAAAGCCAGGCAGAGACCAGAAGTCCCAGCCACGTGTCCTCTTTTGTGTGACAGAGCATCTGAGCTAATGCTGAGCCATAGAAGGCGAAAGGACAGGACTCTGGGATTACTTGCCCCATGTGACCCTGAGCAAGACTGAGATAAACCACCTACAGGCTGGTTTCCTGCGAGAAGAGTGGGTATGAAGTGCTTGGGAAGTGTCCGGAACATCACAGACTCTCAGCCATGATGGCTCCAAATGAACCTTCTATGACTAACACACACCACTAGCGTCCTTAGGTAATTGCTCTAAAAAGTCGATACACATGGGACCTTAAGATCAGGGACAAGATGAGGCGGTAAGATGAAGCAATTAGAAAATGCATAAATCAAAGAATTCCTGAAATTTGCAATAAATAGGGATAGACAGACAGATGGATGGACCTTGAGGGCCACTGTCTGGGGTTAGTAAGCAGTGTGCTGTGCAGGTGGGAAATGGCAGGAGAACAGGATAGGCTCTGCCCTGCCGTAGGGTGGGTAGGAATGGAGAACCACATACCCTTGGGCCTCCTGGGAGGGCCGAGATGGAAAATCCAGCGGCTTTGAGTCGGTGTCTTTCTTTAGAGATTTGGCTGGGCCTTGAACTCGATCCGCACCCTCCTTTTGCACCAACGCACTCCTTTTCCTTCCAGAGAGAAACACTAAAAATACTCAAGGAACTCGACTGTGAAAGTTCGGAGCAGACTGAATTGCTCCATATCTTCAAGTTAAATAAGCTTTTTTTGACCCAAGGATCATCTAGAACCTGAAGTCTGTAAAGTAAAATCGTATTCTCAAATCCATAGATCCACAGTAAATTTGCAGTAAATGTGGATAGACAGAAGGGTGGGCCTTGACTGCCTTTCTCTGGGGTTAGTAAGCAGTGTGCCGTGCAGGTGGGAAATGGCAGAACAGGATAGGCTCTGCCCTGCCGTGGGGTGGGCAGGAATGGAGAACCACATACCCTTGGGCCTCCTGGGAGGGCTGAGATGGAGAATCGAGCGGCTGTGAGTCGATGCCTCTCAGAGATTCGGCTAGGAGGTCTAGAACTCCATACGCAAACTCGTTTTGCACCAACGCCCTCCTTTTCCTTCCAGAGAGAAACACTAAAAATAGTTACTCAAGGAACTCGACCAAGAAAGTTTGGAGCAGGCTGAATTGTTCAATATCTTTGGGTTATATAAGCTTTTTTTGACCCAAGGATCATCTAGAACCAGAAGTTTCTAAAGTAAAATCATACTTTCAAATCCACAGACCCAATACATTACCACAAAGTCAGGTTTTTACAAGTTCTCTGTAGTCCCAGGAGAGGTACGACATTTCCTGTTCTCCAGTCCCAGTAATTCCCCGTCTTCTTTCTTTTTGATATAGACTCATGCACCTCAAAATGACCTTTTATACCACAAGATGTCACACTGACTATTCAGTCAATGAGAAACCACATGTTTGATGGTGGTCTCTTAAGACTATATTGGACCTGAAAAATATGTCACCCAGGACGCTGTTGCTATTCTGTCACAGTGGTGTGACTCATTAGCCATGTGTTGGTGGTGACACTGGTGTAAAACCTACTGCACTGTCAGTTATATCAAAGTATAGCACATACAAGTAAGGGACCCCCAAAGGTTACATCACTGGATCCCCAATCAATGACTGCAGTTCTAGTCCCAGACCCACTGGCTTGAACTGTACACTGGGCGCATGTGCATGTGTGCCCAAGATCCCGAGATATGAATGGAGGAGAAGGGATTGTGGCAGAGCCATCCCCTAAGGGGTGATTACTCATTTTCTGTCTCTGTCTCTGTCTCCATGGCAAATGCATGCATCCTATAGCAGAAATCTTTCTAAAAAAGAATTATAGCACATACGAGTAAATATAGCACATAATACATGACAATGTAATCAATCAATTACTGCTTTATGTGTTTATTATATTGTTATCATTATTTTAGAATGTATTCTTTTTACTCATTTTTAAAAATATAGGAGTCAGCAGGTGGCACAATGGTTAAGGTACCAGACTCCCATACAGTTGACTGTAGTTTGAGCCCCAGGCCAAGCAGTCTGAAAATCATGCAGGGCGCGAGTGCATGCGTTCCCAAATTCCCAGGGAATGGTGAAGAGATAGCGGTATGACCATCGGCCTGGGGGGGTGACATCTCAATTTCTCTTTCTCACTGTCTCTCTCTGGTGAGTGCACATGCCCTATGGCAAAAACCTTTATAAAATGCACTATAAACAGTATGCTGTGTTATGCAGAAGCAACTCCTACATCCTGTGTTTGTCACATCTCTTCACTGTATCATTTACTTTTCTGCTTGGTTTAATCTCATTTTCTTCAACATGGCCCACCCAGTGGGCAAGATGTGGAAACCGAAGACAGTGATTTCAATGAGCCTGACCCTATGTAGGCCTAGGCTAATATGTGGTTGCCTTATTTTCTGTTTTTTTTTTTTTTTTTTTTTTTTTATTTTGCTATAGGGCGCGTGCACTCGCCAGAAAGACACAGAGAGACAGAGAGATAGAAAGCAAGAAATCACCCCCCAGGGGGGATGGCTATGCCTCAATCCCTTCTCCTCCGTACTCCTCTTGGGATCTTGGGCACGCACGCACACGCGCCCGGTGTGATTTTTAAGCCACCAGGTCCGGGTCATGAACCGCGATCGACTACGTGGGAATCCAGCGACCTAACCATTATGCTAACTGCTGGCCCCAAGGTTGCCTTATTTTCTAACAAAAAATAGTTTAAAAGTAAAAAAATAAGTAGTCATAATAATGAACAATTTTACAAAAATAAAAAGACAGAAGATATATTTATAGCTATAATACTTTAAGCTAAGTATTACTGCAAGAGTCAATAACTTAAAAAGCAAAAAATGAAAAGCTGGGGCCTGCAGGTGGTGTGGTAGTTAAGGCACTGGATTCCCACCCTGCCAATAGCAGTTCAGACCCCAGACCTGGCAGCTTGAAAATCACACCATGTGCATGTGTGTGTGTGCCTCAAATCTCAGGAGCAGAATGGGAGAGAAAAACTAAAAAAAAAAAAAAAAAAGAGAGAGAGAGAGACAGAGACAGAGAGAGAACCTTATAAATAATTACAATAAGTTCAGATTAATTTATAAACTGAGAAAGTTTGGAGCAGGCTGAATTGCTCAATATCTTTGGGTTACATAAGTTTTTTTGACCCAAGGATCATCTAGAGCCAGAAGTCTCTAAAGTAAACTTGTACTCTCAAGTCCATAGAGCCACCATGTTACCACAAAGTGGGTTTTTACAAGATGTGGAGGTGGTGTTTATAAACTCTACAGCAGTGTTCAGGTACCGTCCTAGGCCTTCACACTCCCTCACTGACTTGCTAGAGCGACTTCCAGCCCTGAAAGCTCTCCCCTAGATAAGTGACCTATCAGCTGTGCCGTTTTTTAATTAATTTTTTTTTTCAGAGAGATTTTTGCTGTAGGGTGTGTACAGCAGAGAGAGTGAAAAAGTGAGAAATCACCTCCCAAAGGGAGGTGGCCATGCCACAGTCCCTTCTCTTCCATTTTGGGCACACACAGACACACACACACACACGTCCAGCATGAGTTTCAAGCCTCTGGGATCCAGGATTTGAACCACAGTCAGCCACATGGGAGTCTAGCACCTTAATCACTGCTGGCCCTGAATTTTTAATCTTTCATACTGTTTTTTTTTTTTTTTTAAAGAACGTTTTGCTATAGGGTGCATGGGCTTTCCAGAGAGATAGAAAGTGAGAAATCACCCCCCAGGGGGGATGGCCACAACACAATCCCTTCTCCTCTGTTCTCCTCTTGGGATCTTGGGCACACATGCACACGTGCCCAGTGTGAGTTTAAGCCACCGGGTCCGGGACTCAAACCGCGGTTGACTACGTGGGAGTCCAGCGACATAGCCATTACACTAACTGGTGGTCCCGGCCCCTTCCCCTCTTCCAGTGGTCAAGATCTGTCCTCACACCAGGGCCAGCAAAAGGCGTGGTGGTTAAGGATGCTAGACTCCCACATGGCTGACCACGGTTGGATTCCCAGACCTGGTGGCTTGCTTTATCACTTTCTCTCTCTCTCTCTGTCCTCTCTAGTCAAAATAAGTAAATAAATAAATAAAGTTAAATAAGATAAAAAAAGATTTGTCTCCCCACCAATGTCATGATGATAAAATCATACGATGACAAGGCTGACATCATTGCAGGACTGAATGTGGCAGAAGCCACCAGGAAATGGAGAGATGAAGGACATGACCTGACTTACCTAGTAACCACAGTCTTAGTCTTGAAAAGCTACGCACACAAACAAAATGAATTGTACTTTCCATACATCTGAAGATAACCAAAGACATTAGTTTCACAGAGAAATCTTTGGAAAAGCTAAAAGCTAACTGTAAAATAGCCAAGCACCTTTTAGCTTAGCTCAGGTTTACACACAGCTTTTCAACTGTCAAGTGTCAATTCTGGGGGGAAAAGGAGGCACAGCCCAAGTCTTATAAAGTCCTCTTGCAGACTGCAGAGACTTCTCATTCCCGGGGTGACAAGACCCTAGGCCCTGCTATGCTAAGTATGCATGGCTGGCTTTCACACCAGTACCCAGACACCACTCCTAAAAAGAATTTTCTAGGGACCAGCAGGTGGGGTAATGGTTATATCACTGTACTCCCACATAGTTGAAAGCTGTTCAAGTCCTTGACCCGGCAACTTAAAACTCATGCTGGAAGCATGTGCGTGTGTGCCCAAGATCCTGAAAGGAGAATGGAGAAGGGATTGCGGCATGGCCTTCTCCCTTGGGGTGTAGGGGTATGATTTCTGGTTTTCTTTCTCTCTGTCTCTGTCTCTCCTGCGCATGCACACACCCTATAGCAAATATCTCAAAAAAAATAAAGACAGGAAAGAGATATAAACCTACTTCACCTCGTTTTGTCTATTCAAAACAAAATAAAGAGACAGCTTCCAAACTGCCATGGATGACTTCAAGTCAAAAACCTATAGGGATTAATGGGGCACCACTGTGCAAAAGCTGCTTCCAGCCTCACTCAGCCCAGCCAGGCCAGCACCACAGCACAGGGAGGTGTCAGGAGGGCGAGCGGGTGGGGGAAGGAAGGGCCCGACTCTGGCTGAGTTTCAATAATTCCAGCATGGGGACAGGTGGTATTACGTACCACTGCCCTGATCGGAAAGAAAGTTTGTTTCGTTTCCTTACAAGAATCATTTCAGCAGTTAGAACATAGTAACTCCTGCTGTGGAAGAAAGGTTTGTAACCTCAGCTCCTGAGCCCGCGAAGTAGCTCAGCTTCCTGAACTCTCCAGGCGTGTCAGGTTGAGAGGGAGTCCTCTCCTGCTTCTCCTTCCCACCCCAATGCTGTCTTGTAAATGACAGGGAAGTGGTTGAGGAGGGAGGATGAGGACAGACCTCAGAGGGCTGGGAGTGTAGCCCCCTCTTCACCCCCATCACAACTATGGCAGAATCAGATTTGTCCTCAAAACAAGCCCTGATTACGAGAAGCCCAACTGCCAGGACAGGGAAGGCAATGCCACCCTGAAGCCCTGGTTTCCTGTAAGCACTCACGCTGGCCTGGGGGGTGCAGACAGGCAGAAGGAAGCCCATCAATGACAGGAGCCTAGTCTCCTGAGTTGGATGAGATTGCAAGGAGGGTTTCAGAGCTAACACTGACCTTCATAGATCCAGGTGTTTTGTTGTTGGTTAGTGGTTTTTTGATTTTCTTTTTTTTTTGTTTGTTTTTTTTTGGAGATTTTTGGTATATGCGCTCAGCAGAGAGACAGAGAGAGACAGAAAGTGAGAAATCACTCCTCAGGGTGGTGACCACACTGCAATCCCTTCTCCTCCATTCTTTCCTTGTGATTTTGAGCACATATGCACACACACCCGGTGTGAGTTTTAAGCAGTTCGGTCCAGGATTTGAACTGCGACCAACTATCCGAGAGTCCAGCTACATAAATATTCTTAAAAAACATGGTATTAGGGGCCAGCAGATGTTGCTAATGGTTAAGGTGCTGGACTCCCACATGGCCGAGTCCCAGAACCAGCAGCTTGAAAATCACTTCGTGTGCGTGTGTGTGTGCGTGCACGCCTACACTTCCACGAGGAGAATGGAGAAAGAAATGCAGTGTGGCCATTTCTCCTGGGGGCGATTTTTCACTTTCCCTCTCTCTGTTTCTATCTCTCCCCAGGGAACTCACACACCTTTGGCAACAACCTAAAGTAAATAAATAAATACTCATGGAAAAGGGAAGTCTCTTATGATTCAGAGCAATTACATTCACCTGGAATCCTCAGTACTTTCTCTGCCCCTGGTGAGATTTACACATCTCTGCTGTGGCCCTTGCAAATTTATCTTTCCACATCTTTAAGCACCAGGACAAGGGTCTCAGGTGGACCTCTCCCAAACATTGTCAGCTGAATCTAGAAAACCATTTGTTAATGAATTCACAAGTGAGATTTAGAAATCTGATTTCACACACACCTCTGATTCCAAGAGCCGTCTTTCTGTGCAACAGTGGAGGCCAGGACAGAGGAGAGGCTGGCACCCACACAAACCTACACACACACACACACACACACACACACACCTACACATACACACACCCCTACATACACACCTCTAGCAGGAAGTCCCCCTTCCTCCCATAACCTGTGCACCTACCTGGCCCATCAACAGGCCACCTCACCACCTCTCCCAGTACCCCTATTTCTCTTGTAAAAGGCTAGGGAAGCTATTTCCCCACCAAAACTAATCTCCAAAATCATGAGCACCCCTTCCTGATCATGTCTACACTAGCGCCCTGATCCTCTTCCCACAGAACAAAGGCCGGATGCACTCCCCTCAGGAATTCTGCTGAGATTCCGCTTTGTGTGTATAACCTCCCCCTCACCCTGAACACACACACACACACACACACACACACACACACACACTGCATGAGGCAGTGCCTCAGGACCACCTCCAGGCCAGGGCTCCGCCATCCTGGCTCTAACTCCAGCACTGTGCCTACTGGTGGGACTTTGGCTACTCCATGCCTCAGTTTCTTCATATGAAAAAAGAATGCCCTAACATGTCCACGCCGGCACCTGAGGATCGGGCTCTAGGCAAGATACCTATTCCTAGCCTTTCGCCAGTTTTTCATGGAGCGCATCAGGAACTCCTCCTCCTCTGTGTTCTTCTTGGAGTCCAGTTTGTTCTTTTCGGACTCCATCTCCATCGCTGGGTCCTCCGTCAGCTCCTCCGTGTATGCTAAGGCTTGCCGCTGCATCTGCATCTGGGCTTGGTCTGCTCACACCGCGATCGCAGTACGCTCTGGCACCCGGGTCCCGGGGAGCTCCTTCAGACTTTCAGCTCCAGGCTCCAGCTCTGGCTCCTGCTCCTTAGCAAAAGTTCATGCTGGGCGTGGCGACTGTGGCCTGGCCCGCTGGCTCCGCCCTCCCACCTTCCGGTGTGGCGGGGTTATGGCCCTAAGCTGGGCCCAGCGGAGAGGACCTGGCAGCCCTGGCTGGCGCCTTCTTGGCCCCAACCGCAGCCGCTGTGATGAGTCCCTCTGACCGCGCCGCTTTGGCTTGCGCGCTGCCCCACCCCACGGCATACGGATTTTAGAGCAGGGCTCCCTAGGACCTTCCTGCAGCCTACGGGGCTTCTGGGAGCCCTCTGGGCCTTTGACACTTGACTGAGAATCTTGGTCTCCAGGCCCGAGGACCCCCACGGTTTCCCCAGAGAGGTACGTGAATGTCCAGAGTGCTATGGGCCGGTATCAGCTGACCCCGGTATCAGCATAGGGCGCCTGGGTCTGGGATTTCATTTTGTTTGGTTTTAGTATGAGAGACACACAGGGTTTGTGTGTGTTTGTGTGATGGACCAAAACAGATCATAGTAAAAATAGTGTATGTTAGGCTAAGATGCATCCCATAGGCCTGCCTCACCCACCCCATAGAGCAGAGTTAAAAGCAAAGGATGTGGTTACATTTAACAAAAGACAGCTGTTCTGCTTCTGGGAACTTAACAGAACACTGGTAAAAGAAAAGAACAACTTTTGCAGCCCTGGTGAGGCACTGGTAAAGGAAAAGAACAACTTTCGCAGCCCTCCCTCCCTTGCAGCAGCCCTCACCCCAGCCCTTGCAGCCCTTCCTTGTCTGTCAGCCCTTTATTCCCTGGCAGCCCTATCTGCTAAACCTACTCACTGTGGGGCTCAGGGGTGAGCCCAGGTGGGTGGGGAGGAGAGTTCACTTAACAGTAAGTGGGCTCCCCAGGGAAGTGACCGGTCACAGAAAAGGGGGCTTGGGTCCCAGAGCCCCCAGGGAGAGACTCATAGGGTAGAGCTGGACGCAGCATCACATCCCAGAGTCTGAGTTTGAGGACCACTGACCCCCGCCTTGAGGATGGGGAGAGAGGGGGGGTGGGGGGATGGGGGGGAGGGAGTTATTTTCTGCTTGGGATAATCTGCAATGTATTCGTTCCTGCCAGCATGGGGCTGAAACGTTTTTCATTGTCTGACTTGTGTTCGAGGAGACCCCCGAGAAGCTGGATGCCCCATTGTTCCCCGAGGCTGGGTCTAGGTTTCATCCCATGCCATGGTGATGGGTGGGGATGTGTGGGGCAGACTATTGGGTCTGCCTCCTCTCTGGGACAATTTGTGTCAATTTCTTTATCCTTGGTGTCATCTCCTCTAGTTTGTTTTGTGGATTAACCCTCCAGGGAGCTGTTTATTGTTGTCAAAGTCTATCTAGTCAAGCAACAAGCATGAGATGGGGAATTTCCTCACTATGGACTCCCCTCGATTGCTTACTGGACAATTTCAAATACCTTAAGAGAGAGGGGAAGGATTATGGGTTTACTGTGACCACTTTTGAATTGGAAAAATTCTGCCAACTAGAATGGCCAACCTTTGGGGTGGGCTGGCCCCCAGAGGGGACTTTAGATTTATTCACATCCTAGCGAGTTCGAGGCATTGTCTTTGGAAATCCTAGCCATCCAGAACAAATTCCGTACATGAAAATCTGGATCCATCTAGTTCAACAAGACTCAAAGTGGTTACCTGGCCTTGGACAAAAATTCCCATCCAAAATCTGCTTGGTTGATCCGACAAAGAACCAAACAGATGCCTTACCCTGAAAATAAAGTACGAAATTTAGGACCAGCAGTGGGCATAATGGCTATGTCCTTGGACTTCCATGTAGTCGACCGCGGTTTGAGTCTCGGACCTGGCGGCTGGAACTCACGCTGAGTGCTTGTGCATGCATTCCCAACATCCCGAGAGGAGAACGGAGGAGAAGAGATTGTGGTGTGGCCATCCCCCCAGGGGATGATTTCTCACTTTCTGTCTCTCTGTCTCTGTCTTTCTGGTGAGCACACGTGCCCTATAGCAAAAAACTCTCAAAAAAAACCCCAAAGTATGAAATTCTCTGCGAGGCTCAATAAAGGGTCTCATATTGTAGCGGGCTGCAGGTAAAATAACAAAGCAAATCAAAAAATGAAGTCTGTGGGAACCAGCAGTTAGCGTAATGGCTATGTCGCTGGACTCCCATGTAGTCGACCGCGGTTCGCGTCCTGGACCCGGTGGCTTAAAACTCACGCCAGGTGCATGTGCGTGTGTGCCCAAGATCCCGGGAGGAGAATGGAGGAGAAGGGATTGCGGCGTGACCATCCCCCCTGGGGGGTGATTTCTCGCTTTCTGTCTCTCTGTCTCTCTCTCTGTCTTTCTGGCAAGCGCACGCGCCCTATAGCAAAAACCTCTCCAAAAAAAAGAAAAATGAAGTCTGCTAGGTTAAGAGAGTAACAGCCATTTTGCTTTTGTACAACGCTTGCAAAAACTTGCCAGCCCATTGCCAGCATACCAAATTATGCCCCTCTTTGTAACCAGCAGCTGCCATCCCAGAAATCCTTGCAGTCTTTCCTCCCCCCTGGCAGAATTCCACACCCAAGTTCCCTTTGTGGGTATCACACCTACGACCCCTCCTCCTTTCCCTTCCTTACTGGAAACTCCCTACCTAGCGGCATGTAGTCCCCTCCCCAAAAGCTAGAAATCCCCTTTTTTGGAGTTGTGCTTAAATGCTCTGTGAAACTGCAGGACAGGGCTGTCACCTTGACACTGCCTGCGTGTGGTGTGAGGTGTCAGTCCCTGGCCAGGAATAAAGGCTCAAATTCTCAGGTCGAGTGGTCCCAGTCCTTGACGATCTCACGCCACAACATTTGGAAGCCCCAGTGAGATCAGAGGCATCCGGTTCAGTGCGGAGCATTGGCCCTGGCTGAGGACTAACAGAGGTCTGGTCGGAGTTTCAGGGAGACGCCCCCTGACTTTATCAGGGCCCTGAGAATTCTGTCTGGATTTTCTGGCTGGCACTTAGGCCATCGCCAAACCCTTGGGCCAGGAGGAGCCCAGGATTGCTTTGGTCGTCTGCCCGTGAGTGAGTTCAGCTTTCAGTGTCTCTTCTTGCTCTCTTTGCCTTTTCTGGAGACAGAGGTCTATTCATGGCAGGACGTTCCTTTGTCCTAGGAGTTGGGGTTGCTGCTTCTGGAGCAGGTTGCTCAGGCTGTGTTGGATCCTGTGAGACCCTCCGTCAGCTCTATCGCTCCACTGGGTCTTGCCTTCTCTGCCAGTAGCAGGTCTTCTTGACTTCCTAGTTGGTTTCTTTTTGAGTGACAAAACACAGGGCAAGCGTTCTGTCCTCTCACCTTGGCCCCTCAACCTCTTTGCCCTCGCCTTCAGGGTTTCTCCGACGCACTCTTGTTTTGGGAGACTACCATGTTCCTGAAACAGGAAGGCACTCGGGGCGAAGGAAGAACAGGATCCCCCATCTTTGTGGGATCTCTGTCTAGTTTGGATTGCTGCTCCTGTTATGGAAAGGGCTACCTGGGAAATCAGAGTATTGAGATTTGGCCATCAGGAAGGGCACAGGCCTATCGGGTTCAGTGAACAGAGATTCGCCAAGCCACTGGCTGGAGGGCCTCTTGTTCATGGGTTGAACTGAACCAGACCACTCCTGGGAGTCCGGGATCAGAAGAGTTCCTTCCACCTAGAGGAAGGCCTGCGAGGAACATTCCTCGACCCCCAGTTGAGGACTCTCTGGCCCGAGACAACCGGTAAAAGCAAAATCTAAAATTAAATTGTGGAAATGAGCCTTTGTCTCTTTGTCAGCTGTTTATTCGGCAGTCCTATCTGCCAAACTTACTAACTCTGTGGGGCTCAGAGGTGAGCCTGGGGGGAGTTCACTTAACAAGAAATGGGCTCCGGGGAAGTGACTGGTCACAGAAAGGGGGCTTGGATCCCAGAGCCCCCAGGGAGGGACTCATTGGGTAGGGCTGGACACAGCACCACATCCCAGACTCTGAGTTTGGTCCCATTTGGTGGTGAGGACCATTGTCCCTGTGCTGTGACGACAGACACAGGGAGGGGAGTTATTTTCTGCTTGGGATAATCTGCAGCATATTCTTCCTTGCCAGTGTGGGCTGAAACGTTTGTCATTGCCTACATTCTGTTTGAGGAGACCCGCTGGAAGTTGCATGCCCCATTGTTCCCCAAGGCTGGGTCTAGGTTTCATCCCACACCATGGCGATGGGCAGGGGCCAACTATCGGGTCTGCCTCCTCTTTGGGACAATTTGTGTCACATTTCTCCCATTGTTTATCATTGTCCAGTGTGGTCTCTAGTTTGTTTTGTGGATTAACCCCCCAGGGAGCTGTTTATTGTTGTCAAAGTCTATCTAGTCAAGCAACAAGCATGGGTCAGGGAATCTCCTCACTTACGGACTCCCCTCGATTGCTTACTGGACAACTTCAAATACTTTAAGAGGGAGGGGAAGGATTATGGGTTTACCGTGACCGCTTTTGAATTGGAAAAATTCTGCCAACTAGAATGGGCAACCTTTGGGGGTGGGCTGGCCCCCAGAGGGGACTTTAGATTTATTCACAGCCTGGCGAGTACAATACATTGTCTATGGAAATCCTAGCCATCCAGAACAAATTCCGTACATGAAAATTTGGATCCATCTAGTTCAACAAGACTCAAAGTGGTTACCTGGCCTTGGACAAACATTCCCATCCAAAATCTGCTCGGTTGATCCAACAAAGAGCCAAACAAATGCCTTGCCCACGAAACAAAGTACGAAATTTTCTGCAAGGCTCCACAAAGGGTCTCATAATCTGGCTCCCTCCCTTCAAATAAATGTCAAATCCGGTCTCAGAGGGTTCAGACATATATCAGTAATTACACCTCTAGAGAGTATTTAATCTAAGCTGTATGAAAGAGAAACTAAATGAATAAATTAATGCATTTAGGAGTGTCTTAACTGTTCAATTCTAGCGTAATAAAAATTGTTCCTTTTGATATAGCACCATTCCCTGAGACAGAACAAAACTTACGGCCATCCCCCCAAAGGTGAGAATGGAAGGGGGGTAAATCAGGTACTTTGGAGGGCCAAAGGTCTCTAGCTGAATTCTTAGAGTGGAGGCCCAGAAGCAGGCCCCAAGGAGCCAGTTTCTTTCTATGTGCCTCAATGAAATCAAATGAAAACTTCATCCCACCTATGCAGGACCCCCATCTGGTGCTGCTCACTCACTAACATTTCTGGGTTGCCTGTACCAGGCTTAGACCCTGCCCTGTAGACTGCACACACTTTGACCTGCGTACCATCACAACAGGAAAAGTTCATGTTGCTGCTGCCCAGGAAAACCTTTGGCTGCAGGTAGCAAAATAGCTAGACTTATTTAAGACACAACTGCAGTAGCGCTTTGGTAAGAATTAAAGAGTAACGTGGT